GAAGCAACTGCATACAGTAAAAACACACACGCACACACACACACTATATTTGTATACTAGGAAACTCTAGGAAAGGAAAGCAAATTCAACAATGTTAGGCAACACACTTGTATTCAGCTACATTTTAAGGACCATGTGAAGTTTTATGTCAACTGTAAATCTGTATACCTGTAAATGAAGATACTGTTTTGATGTAAATGCTGCACATAAAGATAAATAAAGGCAAACTACGCACAGCAAAATACAGAGCATCAGAAGGTTGTCTTTTTTTCTACTATCAAAATCCTTTGCAATCCTCTCAGTCTGTTCGGAATTAGCAATGCTTGAACCTTCAACCCCTCCGCCGCTGTTCAAAGTCAGCAGCCGGAGCTGTGGGGAGGAGTCGCCTCAAGCTACAACACGTTCGACTCGGTCACCGCAATACAGACATCCTTTCCCCTGTAATGACATCTTATAATGCACACTTCAAAATCAATTCTGCCTGTGAACGACAAGACAGCTTCTAAACGTAGATCCATTTTCGGGGCCGAGCCTCATTAATTGCTCGTTCTCAGAGCTGCAGAGACACACATGGGTCATATGCTCAAGATGTGTAGCAATCAAACAAAACAAGCACAGCAAAAATCAGCTATTCCCCTGATGTTTCCGTCGGCTGACGTCCAACCATCCTGACTAACGTCCACTGGGCTTTTTAGACCCATTTGCATTTGCAGTGAAAAGCAACAGGTGTGGAAGGACTGTGCACTGTGGTTTGGTTCAAGAGAACAGAGATCAAAACAAATTAAACAATATTTGAGTTACACATTACCGATCACATTATTACCGCCATTTGGTCGATTCATATCCGACAAGATTCTTCCTTTGTTGATTTTGTTGAATACGGCAGCTGAAATAAAAGCCTCCAGATTTATTATTTACACAAACGTCCTGGAACCAAAGTGAAAATTATTTCACTACACGTCTAGGTCCTCAAGGCCCAGTAATGATGTGCGGGCGGGATACCACTACGCTACAAGGTTGTTGCTTTCAGCCGTGTGCGGACTTGAACCTTGAACCTGCCTTCAAATGATGTGGACCCGTCATCTGAGACCTCCGTCATCTCTAGAGGTCTGCGACAGTGGATTCCATACACATTACTGTTGATATAAAAATCTGACTAAAATTTAATTTCTGGTAGCCAAGAGGTTACAACGCTCCTCGTCTCTCTCATCCTCCCGACATATTAACCTTAATTACATCAACAAAAATATCCATAGTATCCATAATAGAAACACCTGTGGAATAGAGAACGAGTGTTTCACCTTGTTCGGTAGAAAAGTCACAATTTGTGCTTGTTGACCCATTTGCATTTGCAATCCCAGCCACTATGTCAGGTTGAAAGACATCTCCATAGCGACCCACGATGAATATATAACCAGTTTGTCACAACCCAACCCTAAAATCCTGATTCAAAACGACTTCTTTCCCTCCCTCATCATACCTGCATCAATACTATTTACACTTTCGGCAGTTACTCCTTTTGAGGAAGGACATAAAATAATTGGACTTTTTTCACTACCATGTGTGTGAAAACACGGTAGTCTTACACTGACAATGGCAGGGGAACAAATGAGGGATTATTCTGGAGGTGTGTGATGCCTCTCCTGCAATGAAGTTCCTCACACTCTATTCTGCGTGAATGTAGGTGACTCGGAGAGCCTGAGCTGATCCCAGAATTCCTCATTATCCGCCCAGCAGGGAGGATCAGGTCCGCTCGCTCAGTCTCAGAGCATGCTCGGCCCGGTGAGACGAGCCCCGGAGGAGCACCGTGCTGGGCCATCGGGGGCAAGCCAGGTCTGCTCATTATATCTAACTCATCCTTGGCATCTCTGCAAACCAAGTGCCACTTAGTTCCCACAGGAAGGGGTCTGGGCTGGATCACTGACGAGATGGCAGAGCAAACAGCAGAGAGGTAATAGGAAAATCTTTACATCAAAAGACACGTGCAGGCGGACCCATAGCGTCCACAAGTCCACATAGGAGGTGGATATTACAACACGTAGGGATTCCTTACAGTCAGGCTAAAAATGCATTTAGTTGTAGCACTGCTTGCTACTGCTAATCAGAAACAGATTCATACCCGATATAATGACACAAGTATGTGAAAGTACCCAGTAAACATTTCCATAAAAATGAAAACATCGTGCTGGAAAACTCAATTGGTGAACCTCCCCCTTTAGCATCAAAAACAGAAAGGAAGCTGCATGGTATAGCATACGAGTAGTGTACGTATTTACATATTTATCTGTCAGGAAAAAAAAAAATCATTTTTTTTCCAACAGTAACTGAGAAAAATTCACCAACGTCATTTAGCAAGCGCAAATATATAACTCAATGAATAAACATACAATTTGAGTGAAACGTGTTGTTTCATTTATCAACTCTATTTCTGGTATAAATGAATGCAGCACAGCAGGTGAATTATGCAAGTGCAGAGTCGTAGCCCTTTGGCTAGGGGCCCTCTATACCCCTTTACTTTTTAAAAGATACTCTCGTACGCAAGTCTAGGAGCGGGGCGAGTGGCGGCTGATGCGGTCTATGCAGATAGTAGCGTCTTCCGTTGCAATCACAATTAGCCTCAGAGAATTGGCACAGCGCCAGGCAACGCTGGTCTCAGCACATCCGAAACACTTCAGGTAAACACCACAATAAGCTAAGAAGCAGAAATTAGAAATTGTTTTGTACCGCAACACAGTTGCTATAGAGACTGTTGCTAATTAACTGCACTCTACCCCAGGATAACAAAGGGCTTAAGGGCACTCAGGGCAGATCCTCTTGTGATGAGCTATGTGTATGGAACACTATGCCATCCCCGGGGTCTCTCGAATACAAAATACCAGTCTCCTTGCAGCCAACTTTCATCTCAGATGCCATGAGAGGTTTTGTGCGGCGACGGTCTGCGGCTGTATTAAACCCTATGGACCTGGATTACAGCCCCATATCAGCCTCACCATGATTAGCTGAAGCCCACCTTTCTTAAAAGACAAATCACTCGATGTTTGTTTGCTTTTATTCAAATTCATATTTTCCAGTTGATTTCTCTCAATAGTAAAGATGCCTTTATACATTTGACTGCATGTTTCATTTCTGAAAAAGATACATTGCCCACAAAGAAGATTAATCAGAGAATTAAGATGAATCGAGTCACATTCCAAGCATTCCAAGATTTGCAGTACTGGGTTAATTTTTGACACTATAAATAATCCGTAACAGCTGACCACTCCCTACAGGTGAGGCCTTATCGTTTACAGAACCTCAGGGTGAGCGCAGCGGTCAGCTCCCAGCACGCATTGTGCTGCTGCTAAATGTCACCACTCTTTAGCAGACTAACTTCTGTAACAAAATACCGATATTCTAAACTTCCATCCATCATTTTGCCTTTAATCGAACCCAAGAAAAATGAGTCATAGGTTTTGTCATTTCACAACATCAAACCGTCCATTTGGTTTGGCAAACTGTGGTTTTCTTCCCGGTTTCTTTTCAGTTTGCAAACTTGAAGGAAACAATTTCACTCTTGTCTAACAGTTGTGACTAATAAAAGGAATGACGGCCTTTTGATTCTGCTACTGACAATTTGTAACCAGATACTGAGCACATCTGGCCGGACAAAGCTCTTTTCAACTCTACATTTTTCTCTCTTCTCCTCTTTTTAAGGCAGATTCAAAACCAGAAAAGAGAGTTTTGAATCAGAAACAATCTTAGTCCTGAGACCGAAATCTTGTGAATGTTTCAGTTTCATGTGGTAAATCTCAGCAGGTTGTTCTCATATCTAATTTGATTGTAGAATTTGAAAGAGAAGCAGCTACGCCTGCATTTAAGCTGATATGGGTATTGGATTCAGTAAATGTAAATCAACATCAAGATAACGTCAAGTTTCTACTGCTCCATAAACTTCTAAAGATAATTACATTTTTTTTTTTTTAAACCAGTTCACCAGTAAGCCGATCGTGACCATTATATTCTACATTGAGTGACAGTGAGGGCTGCACTTAGCACTGCTCATTTGAAAAAATACGGAAGGGTTGTTCTTTAATCCAGAGCAGAGGGACGGCCTCCCTGGCAGCCTCACTCTGCGTGGGGACTGGGGAATTGGAAGAAGAAACAGTGGGGAGGGTCCTGTTGTGTGAGCCCACATCTTTGTAGTGGCAGCTGAGGGGTTTCACTGCAACTCCTAGCATTTACATTTCGTTTGGCCGGAGCAGGTCACATGACAGCTGCATGCGAATGCTCTGAGGGGCTTTATGCTTTCACTTGACACTGACTGACTGGCTGTGAGACGGTCCAACACCACGGAGAGAAAATATTCCCTCTTTCCGTGACATCACCCAGCCAGGAATGGGGGAAATGGCGGGAGGAGAGGGGGCACAGCTGGTGGAAGCCACAGTACCATCTGCTACTGACTAATAGTTCATGCTGCTTTACTTATAAACTTGCACTTCTGTGAACCAGAATAGTGGCTCTATGGTCCCCGTACGTACATCTGACTGTCTAATAATATTAACATACATGTATTGATGTTTGGAAAATAAATGTGCGTATTCTGTTTTAAAGGGGAAGATTTATACCACTCTCATGTGACTAGATATGGAATTAGCCCAAACACAAGCACCGGTATAACCACAACCTGCTGTTAATACGCATTTGGTTGTTGTTGTTGTTTAGATAAACCAAAGAAGAAACAACACATTAATCAATGAGTTTCTTTGAGATTTTGTTACAAAGCCAGGCCAGCTGTTCCCCTTTTGTCCTGCCTTTATGCTAAGCTGAGATAACCACCTGCAGGCTGTGACATGAGTGGTATTGATATTCTCACCTTGCTCTCCTTAGGAAATCAAACAAATGTATTCCCAAAATGTCAAATTATTTACTGGAGCTCACTCCGTTTGGACCTACAAGAACATCGCGTAACAACACGGATGACACTTGGGTTAAAACGCTCACATACGTTCAACCGTACTCACCATACATCTTTCCCTCGTCAGACAGGATGATCTTCCTGCGTCCACAGGGAGGGTAGATGGCCAGAGCCTCCTGGAAGCTCTGTTCAATATCAGGGCTCCACACCCCCTCGGCATCGTTGTCCATGGGCTTGTCTGCCGAGTCGCTCATCCTTTCCATGTCCTCGGCAGGGCTTTCGCTGCCGCTCCAGCTGCTGGGATCAATCGTGGCGGTCGGGCTCCCCAAGCAGAAGCCTGGAGCAGACTAGGGAGAGACCTGGAATTCCAGGAAAAAAAAACACAACCAAACAGTCACTCTCTGCAACCGAACAGTGGACATCTGCTTCCCCCCCCCAAAAAAAAAGAAGAAAAAAAAAAAAAGAACACAGTGCACACTGTTAGAGAGCACAATATGGAGCACAGACAGCCAAACAAACTCGGACCTCGCCAAGAATGTTGTTGACTTGATTTACAATGGATGTTATGGGATTAGACAATTGGACATTTTCTCTCAGATTTGTGGCACTTCCCTCTAATTAAATGACTGAACACAGTAAATTGTTACTTTCAAATCGTGTTGACAAATAATAAATCTCTCTGCAGACTATGAGGAGGAATGCAACGTCTTCATGAAGACAATAAAACACAGAACAGTTGTCAAGGCGGAATTTAAATTCACCCCCGTTAAGTACCAGTGCTGTTACAGCTTGTTAGAATTTAAAAAGCAGAAAGCAACAAGAACTTCCATCAGAATTGTCACCCCAAATAAATCTGGGTGGGGGAAATGAGAGAGCAGCATTTGACACTCCACCAACAGGTGAGACTGTGTGTGTAGTTGGCAGCGCCAATGAAAAAGAAAAAATTAGCTACAAAATATGAAAGTAAAAAAATGAATGGCGGCTTACGTCACCTACTACCGTACATGATGACGGCATGAACTGTAGACATTAGACACGCAAGCCCCACAGAGAAGCCAAAAGGAGTTTAAAACAAAACAGACAGGCTGAAAACTGCCGTTTACAGACTGCGGCTCACTCGAAGAACCTTTGTGCATCGTAGCCAAGCTGCTCACACAGCTGGACAAAGTCTCATCTCAACAGCGGCTATTGACAAGACCGACAAGCTGCTGGATCTGCAGCTAATAAACTTGAGGACAGCATCGTAATGCGGTGACAGCCTCTGGAGCAGAACGCGTTGAATGTCCAGAAACATAAAACAGCAGACTACCCTTCATTTTATGAGAAATGACTATCAGACACTACAGCTGCCTGAATGATGGGCCTCGGCGAAGCGGTGGAAATGAAATTCAGCAGCGTTGTGGTCGGCGTAAACTGTGCGGCTTTCATGAATGGACACCATTCTGCACAAAGGGGCTTCGCAGCCACAGAGTCCGGCCCCGAACTTTAAGAGACATAGACAGAGTTTATCAAGGTGGCTAAATTACATTCAGAGCCCCGAAACAGACACAGCTGACAGCACTTTTTCTCACATTATGTTAAAAATGTTGGCAAGCACATTAGCATCTAAATGCATCCGTGCGTGGACAAAGGGTACAATAAACAAACTGGTAAACTCAAAAGGATGTAAGACAAAACGCTCTTAGCTATGGATAAATAAATAATGCACACACACACACACACACTGGACATTTGAAAAAGCTCGCTCCTCTGAGGAAAGCAGCCGAAGAGCACAATGAAGGCACGTCGGCTGAAAGGCAAGTTCTCGCTCCACCCAGAACGAAGGGGCAGAGCAACTAGTGGAGAGGACATCCTGAGTGAACCGAGGAGGAAATTCTCTGAAAGGCCGTATATATGCATGAGGCTCGTTTCAGCTGTTTTTCATTGTCCAATGCAGCTGGCTGGCTTGTAATTCCTCCTGCCCCTTGGAGTGTTACTCCAGGCTTCACGTCCCTTTTGTACAATCATTGTACATAAGGGCATGAGCTGCGCCCGACGTCTGAGTGTGCGACAGCACTGTGGCTGAACAAGTCACAGTGGGGACGTGTTGAGATGAGCTCACAATTGAGTAACAGTGTCGTAAACGCACATCAAATTCACTCAAGACAAACAGATAATATATGAAGCCATCTCAGAGTTTCTCTCCACCGTTAGATAGTTGCTATTTATTAAAGTTTCCATTTTCTCTTTTCTCAATCCCTCCCCTCTTTCCAGACAACTGCTTCCTGTGAGCAAGATCCCATTCAAGCAGCACAAGCTGTCAGGAAGTGAGAATAGTAGCATATGTTTCTTCCAACATGTCAGTTCATGAGGGGAAAAGGGGGGATGGGAGCAAGCTGTTGGGAAAAAGAAAAAAAAAAACTCCCAGCGAGCAGCGAGAGCTCGTACTGAATTCCGTTTTTGTGTGCCGGCTGCTGACACAGCAGAATCAGCTCACAAACTGATGAGGGAGGGGGGAAAAAGACCCATTTCAACCACTAATCGTCTGGGAATCTTTCTAGATGTGCTCTTCATCCCAACCAACTGATATAATAACGTACTCGTAAAAATTTCCAGTTTACAAGTTCTGAGGAAAATATATTTTCTAAATTTTTAGTACTATAACGTTGTTGTACATCCTTCTAAACCTCTGAATGAAAAAACGTTTTTATATGATCACTGGTTACTGGAAGTAAAAAGTCAAGAAGGTTGAGAATTGGTTTAAAATAATAACACTTCGGATCTACAGAAATGACTCAATAAAAAAATGACGTTTCTCCGGAAATGTATCTTCATGAGGCTGATCATTGTCAGCAGGAAAACTAAACAGCACACACAGACAACCAGCACTACAAACCTGACAGCACTGTACCGAGTGGCATTGGACTTTAGCCGGCCGACTCTCTTCAAAGCCTAAAAGACTAAAAGAATCCTCTATCGTCTTCAAAACATCTCAATGTGCGACAATGAGCTCTGACGTGGTGGAGGCAGCGGCTCAACAGTCTTAAAACAATCTAGTGTACCTTTCATCTACTCGCTCTCTTAGGTCGTCCTCAACTGGAGACCGAGGCTCTCCCTGTATTTCCACCTCAGCAGATTTTTTTTTTTAGAAATTCCCAACTGATAGTTAAAAAGAAAAGAGTAACATGAAAACTAAAAAGATGTAAACCAGCTTACAAAAAACACAACATTCATCCTGATCCCTACTTTGGAGATTTGTGGCTTCTAATTCTAATAACAGATGTTTGGAGAATGTTGAAGATAATCTTTTAAAAATAGACCAGTGAACAATTACGTTAACATATTTTTTGAAGACTTCGATCATTACCAGAAAATTGTAGGTAACAAGATTCCCAAGTATGCACATTCTAGCAATAGATCTTAGAAGAAATAGAAATTAATGCCATTCCTTCGTTATGACCTGAATGTTATTTTAATTGCAGAACTAGTTCTTATTTGTTTGGAAGATCAGTTGAATTATTATGCTACACTTTGTATTTATTCAATGTGGCGAAATAACAAAAGGAGCAAAGTCATATTTGCAATGAAGAAGGAAAGGGATGCGGTATAAAGAAGTCAAGGATGCACAGAAAATGGTGATTGCATGCTTACATACCACAACAGAAAAGGTACTAAACGGGTAAGCCTGTTGTCTAGATGTTAGCATGTCAAAGGAAACACCAAATGACACAATGCAGAAGTCATGGGCATCCTTAATAGATCAGTTTCGCATTATCCTGTGGCATTATCTGGAGGCTTTCACCATGTGCACCATGCGAACAGCTGCAGAGTTGTCAACGAAGACGGTCTCTTAGCGCCTTAGAATCTGAGGCCTAATTATGTCCGCCAAAGGAAAGTATGAATGTCATCCATAGAAAACACTTGTGGCTTCCAGATAATACTTCTGCATGCTTGTCTTTGCAGGGTGTTCACCATAGAAATGGTCTTATTTGTGAGATGCGGGGTAAAGATCGCCCGCGATGCAAGACATGAATGCGGTAACTAAGCAGAGTAGTAGCTTTGACATGGCATTATGGGAAATTACACTTACTGTGAGATTACATAAACCACTCAGCAAGCTGGAATCCAGCTCCTTAAATTAAGAGAACCCATTTCACCCATCAGAGAGAGCAAGGTAATGAAATAGCAGATGAGAGGTCTCAAATGTAATTTTCCATGTGGAGTTCTTTTGTGCCGTTATCTCAGAGGGTGCAATAATGATTCTGTGAATGACTTTTGTGCACCCCATAATGGCCCACAGTAGTTAAGGCCACAGTGTGTAAAACTGTAATTACCATGTGATTTCCAAACTCAACATTTTCAGCTTGTTGTCAAGACACATCCTGGCCTTTGCATAATTATAACAGCAATGTCAAACATATTCAATTTTGAGCAACATGTAATTTACTGTGAAAATTTACAATGACCGATATTCAATTTAGTTTCTGTTCATTAACTGGGAAAAAGTATGTTTATTGAATGAAGTCTGACAGCAGGTCTTTGAGAACCTTGAAGTGCGGTTACAGGGTAAAATGAAATTAATCAAAATTCGGTGGAAATCGTCTTTGAATTGAATTTCTTAAGTAAGCTTTACTACACAAGGCTACATTTGGGCATGCAGCCAATGTTAAAATAAAGCCAAGTGAAATAGGTGAATGTGAGTTCTAACCTTTTGTTAAACAAAAAAAGATATATTTTTACTTCATTTTACTTCATTTTTATACAAAACCAAGCGTGTTCCAGGTAAATTTAAAATTACCGCATTCAGACTACAATGTGTCCCCAGAAAACACAAGAATGTATTGGATTTTTCTTTAGGTTTCATGAATAAATATACAGGTCTGGTGTACAGATGAATGAATAAACAAGGTTTTCAATACCAATTTCCTCAGGTCCACTGGAGAGGCTGGAAAGCTTGCTTTCCACCTCCGTTATTGGCAATGGCTTAGTGTTTATTTCATGCCTCTTTGAACCAGCAGGCTGAGATGCCGTGAATCTGTCTGATATCATCCCACTCAAAACGGAGGCCTGGATCCCACCGCCCAGCGACCATCGGGCCACTATGGGATCAATCTTTGTTTGCCAGAGAATAGGATTGATTTACAGGGTCTGTCAAAGCAGCCCTCTCTACCTGCCTCTGTCTCAGAAACAGGTAGCAACAACATGACCTGGACATCATCAGATGCGTCGGCTAAAAGGTCTTCCAGGCTGAACGTCTAATAGACAAAAATTGTCTCCCTTCCGCGGGCAGCATCCCCGACAGTGACGCCAAAATATATTTAAAAAATCCAATTGACCATTCAAACGTAAAACGTAATGAAAGCTCAGAAGACATTTGCCT